TATAAAAACAAACTTGCAAATATGGACTTTGATCAATATGTACTACTTATATGTACCAATCTACGTATTAAAACGGGAGCTTCAGTCAGATGGATTTCTGCGCTCGTAGTGTCGTAGTTTCATTTCCGTAGCTACCTGTTAATATATACTACGTCGTAACGATTTGCTACGAGTTACGGCATTTAATTTATTATCGTGCTCAAATGTAAACACATACAATGAGGAACCATCGTTGTATATCGATGAATTTAATTAAATGAGCATCGATATTACTGAAATAATTAAGATGCTATAGTGCAGTTTATTTATCTGTAAATTGATAACACTGGTGGTTATATGTAAGTTATATTTATAATTTATAATACTATTATTATTATAAATGTGAAATTTTCTTTGTTTGGATGTTTGTCCGGTAATCACTTCGAAACTACTGAACGGAACGGAAATTTGGTATACAGATAGGGTATTAACTGACTTATTTAGATAGTAGGATACTTTTTATCCCACTAAACAATTCCCTAGGGACCACGCGGGCGAAGCCGCTGGCGAAAACTAGTTTACAATACACTCACGTACACTATGTACAGTCAATATCGGTTTATTCAATTTCTCTATCTGTCATCGATTGTATACCTTGAAATAATGAAAGTTAGACTCAATACTCAATGCGAAGTCATTTTGTGTCAACCGGTTGCAAAATCCATAGTCACATTATAAATAGGTACTCTATTCATTAATGCAATTTTTGTGTAAGAGCATGTTAATCAGAATATTATTTATGAATATGAACATCAAATACACTGCTCGGGTTTATGATAAGTAGCTAAAGCCCTTGTATTAAGCAGTATCTGAAACAAATGAAGGTGCCAAAACATACAGACCCGAGACAATATAGAAGTCTACTTTGACCCAACCTGGTAATACACCCACTCAGCCACGGAGGAAAATTAGTTACTACATTTGTATAACAAGCAGATGTGTTGATTTTTTTATAAATAAAGATAAATACAAAATTTGGATACATTGAAATTAAAAAAAAAATGTTGGTCGGATACTTATTTTGGTTACAGTCAGCTGTGTGACTCGTTATATTGTAAGAACTGGTTTCGACATAATGTCTTTAAATGTTCACATGTGACCTTCCCCGTTGATATACTGTAGGATATTTATTATAGAAACGTCAATAAGTCTCACATTAGAGGGACGCGTTGCCACGTGACGTGGGCCAAAGAAAATGTGTCGCGTCTAGTCTTCAATTTGCTAAAAGGTTTCTGTTGCGTGAAGCCGAGCGGCAGTGTGTGTAACGATCTCTGACGTCTCGCCCTTTTATACACATTTTTGGAAGATGAACGAGATGTATTCACAAACTTATTATAGATCGTGACAACTTATACTTTTAATGTGAAAAAAAAAGTTTCGTATATTGATAGAGACGTATGTTTTGTAAGTAGCTTGGTGGCGTTGTGGATAAGCGCCGCAGCCCCAGATCGAAGGTTGTTAAGCAACATTCGCAAGGGTCGCTTTCGGGATGGGAGACCAAAAAAAAAAAATTATCTCGAGCTACTAAGTACTTCAGAAGGCACGTTAAGTCATTGATCCCGGCTGCATTTTGCAATCGTTACATACTATCCTCCAATCCGCATTGGGCCCGTGTGGAGGATCACCGTCCGTCATATTAAGTATTTTCACAAACGGCTAAGAAAATATAATATTTTCATATTAAGTATTTTCAGACGCAAAGCGATGATCTTAAGATAATTATATAGCATTTATATTATCGTATCTTAACCCTATGTTATAGCTAAAGATGTTAAAATATATTATTTTAAGATGATATATTATATCTTAACTGTCTGTTATGTGTGATATGAGCTTTAGGGTGTTATTAAGCTTAAATATTATTATGTTGAAAGAAATTGTACGTAAACTTTTATGGGTAAATAGTGTAAATATAATTAGGAAAAACACTAGTATGCCATGTTATATTATCTCTTATGATTTTATACTGTTTTACACGAATGGATGAAGAACCTGTATTACCTAGATCCAGCCGTTTTATATTATTAAAATAAAGCATTTTAGATGCTATATATTCTAAAGAAGTGTTCTGATTGTTTAATGAATTATATACAACGTTGCCTAAATACTTAATCTAAATCTTCGTAGACTTAGAGTAAGTCTTTAGGCATAATAGAATCATAGTAATCAGCAACCATTTAACGCATGATCGTACGTCCTTGTAGTTGACTCAAGTTAACTCCCCATAGGTTTCTATTAATTAAAGTTGTATAGCAGTGGAACGTTAACTGCAGGTTGATAAATGAGGGAATGTGTTGATGATTGTGCGTTTATGAACGTAAACAATCGGGTTACAACTGTCGAATATCGATTGTTATTGTTATACCAATAAATTACACGTGCCAATTTAATCTTATATTAGGAGACCATCGGCATCTTTCATTTATTTCATTTTCATTTTACATGTAGAAATTAATTTATTCACTTGATATTGGCAGAATTGTGCAAAATGTGCAGATTGCTATTATTAAAAAGAAAGAAGAAGAATCTTATATTATATTTTATATAGTGAGTAATAAACTATACAAATAAACTAATTAGTATAGCAAAAACTTTATTTAATAAAACAGCTTTTGAACGGTTTTCAATTTTTAAGTTTTTACATTTTTAGTGATGCGTACCTTGAAAAAAAACTGTATCCTTATAGGATCACTTTGTTGTTCATCCGTCCGTCTGTCAAGACTCTGTTTCTTGCGTGGAGGTACCAAGCTGAAATTTATATCAAATACTCAGGTCTACTGTCCCTTGGAGCTGTTAAAAAATCAAACTTCTAAGCCAACGCATTGAAATGTACAGCCGTTTATGCCGCAAATTCGACAAATTATCAAAACTCGCAAGGGAATCAAAACTCACAAGGTACCTCCCGTGAACTCAGAATCTTGATATTTGGAGCAACGTTTTCAGTTATATCATATAATCAAAATATTATTAATAATTTTAAAGTTTCTACCGTTTTCCTCATGAACTCGTAGAGTTATTAAATTGAAATTCATATCAAATGCTCGGGTCTATAATACCTTTCGGTGAATGCAACAAAATCAAACTTCTATCTCAATGCAATCAAACGGAACAGCAATTTAAGTCACAAATTTTCAAACTTGCAACTCCCAAGAGAATCAAAACCTTAAGGATATATTTGTCAATTTTGAATTCACAATATTATATTGGAAAATCTTCTTAAAAAAAATACTTAAAAATCTACTTTGTCTCTGGTACTCCGATATGGGATTCGAACCCACATCCTTTCGCAATTACCACTTACTTACCACTGAACTACCCAGAACCTAACAGAACTATCAAATTTTAAAAGCACTTGTTACTTTTTACCTGACTATGGCGGCGAAGCGAAAAGGAGGGGTATGATTTTGGCCTGTATGTATGTTTGTATGTAATAATGTCCATCTGTTCCCTTATCACTTCGAAATTTCTTATGATCAGTGGCATACGACTACGCTTTCCTTTGCTATTATAATATAGCTCTCGCTATAATATAAATTTCTTGTTTTAAACTTTTTAGAGCGCGATTTAGCCGGGTTTTCGCTGCTACAGAGCGTATTTTCATCAATGTTCAGGCAATCCACCCAAATAGCCGAAAGAAAATATTTTAAACTTTCGATAAAGATTGACAATTTGTTTGGGGGCTGCCGTAGTAACCTCTTTTCTGTATTCTGTGGTCGTTACCATTGTTTACTATTCAATTTGTCATTATAATTATATTCGTGACATAATATGAATCGATATCTAAATAAACAGTTCCCTAGGGACGAAGCGAGCGAAACCGCTGGCGCAAAGCTAGTTAGCTAAATACTTTTTTAACCAAGTGGTTGAAGAAGAATGGTTATATTTGTTCACATATCGATACGCAATTCAAAAAGAGTTATCTCAATAGCGATCTTTTAGTGGATGCTTAGACGCACTGAAAGCTAGAAAAATCGCTATAATCTACAGTTTCCTTATAAAATGAATGATAAAGAAGGTAAAATTTCGAAAGTTATTGGAAGTGTCGTTGACTACGGTATATTACCTCGCCTGGGCGGGGCGGGCTTAAACCAGCAATATGCCGTGTAATTTGCATGGTATTAAGCAGGGAATGCCAACATTTTCACTCGACAGTTGAAATATGTTAGGCTGGACGAATTCGTTACCGATCTAAAGAGCGGACGATTTATTATGTTAAAATGCTATGATGGACAACGATCCTAAAAGGAATGGAATCTTTGGGATGGTGATTCAATTTGCGGACCGTTATCAGCGTAATTTCAGTATTGATTGATGGACGTTGTTAAGCGCTTTATAATCCATCTTGTATCTACATAATTAAAGTTTACCTGTCACCAGGCCGTATCTCATGAAAGTTAGACAGTTCAAATTATGTATTTTTGTTGCCGTTTCAACAAAATATACTATAAATTAGAATAAAATGAATATTTAAGGGGGCTCCCATACAAGAATTATTTTTACAAACGTGTTTTTTTTGCTTGTTTTTGCGCGATATTGATCGATATTGATGTTATTGCTTGAAATAACAACAGCTTGAAATATTTATAGAATATGTATTTATGTAGTAACTTCAGAAATAAATAGTTAAATTAAAATTAAACATATTTAAGGAGGGTAAGGAGGGGGGGCATACAACAATCGCGACTTTTTGCTCGTTCCCGGCACGGAACCTTTCGTGCGCGAGTCCGACTTGCACATCGTCGGTTTTTTTCAAAGGATAAAAAGCTATTTACTTCTACACGTGTACCACGACATTTTGAATGCTTAAGTGTAATACGGCATAACTTAAAGGAAAAATTTAATTTAATTATAAAAAAGCTTGTGAAGTTTGCCATTAAATAAACGACTATGTTAGTTCAATGCGCGAAGCCGTAGAGCTTTCGTCCTAGTAGTTAGCTTGGTGCAGGTGGAGTTTTCGAATTATGGCACTATCGGGAGCACACAGGCCGGCTTTTGTGTCTACTGCCAACTCCTTAACTCTAGACGCTACTGAAGTCCCAACACAATTAGATCTTATTTGTGAACGAGTTCATGTAAGTGGTTTACCTGAAAATAAGTCTGATTAAGTAATTATGGTTGCACTTTTGTTATGAAAAGTATTATTTTAATTTATATGTGATATAAATAAGTTGATGAACTTGTAATTAATCACATTAAAAAATATACTTTAAAACCGAAATATCTGCAGATTGTGCAATTATGCCTACTTTAATTTAAAGTAAAGTAATATTTATTTGATTGGAATTATAGTAAATGTTTTTTGATAATGTAAATCTAAAAGTCAGTTTTCTGTCGTTTTAAGATGAGACAAAACACTCGCTAATGGTATACAAGCAGTTTAAATCTTTGATTTCAGTTTATGGTTTAAGTTGTTTTTATTAAATTCCTTGATTTTGTTTATTACGTCGTAATAAAAATATTCGCCGTATGTAATGACAACCTGCTTCTTTTTTGTATTTGGGTAGATTTCATGATCCTAAGCTGGAAAGACCCTTGGCCGGCTATGCGAATGATTTAATGAATATTTATGTTGTCCTTGTGAAAGTAGGCCGAACAGGGAACTTTTACTCAACAGCTGATTGGAACTAATGATTATTTTTAAATTTTATAAATTGCTAATTTATTGTTAGGATGGGTTTGTTCTTGTGGGCTCGGTGGCTGGACAGCGTTACTGGTCGTCCATGCTGTCGCTGGACGCTCGCATCACGTGCGGCTGTTGGACGCCCGACGACAACCAAGTGTATTTAGGAACGGCTTCCGCTCAACTGGTCGTCATGGATGTACACGGCGCGATGGTCTCACAGGTAAGACGTCTATTTTTATGTGTCTCCAGATCATGCTTATAACTCTATTTTAAGAAGTAGGACATAGGTAGGTCCTGCAAGATTCTAATACTGGACACATACAATAAGAGAAATTGCAGACTGATTTCTGAAAACAGTTTTGTTTATAAGGACAACAACTGTGTCTCATTAATGGATGTTTGATACCATTTTTTTATATTATGCCTTCAAAATATTTTTTATTATTAGGCTAGATGTTTTTCTGTGAATTATATATGTATGCAGCTTTCTGTAGGTGAAAGAATTAAAAAAAAGCCACTAGTTTCGGAGCTTATTCTATACAAACAAAGAATCAAATCCTTTCTTTACAATATTAGAATAATCAAGCTGGCGTTATATAAATACGTAGACATTCATTACCTAGAGTAGAAGTTGTACATATGAAGTAATACTTAGATTTTTTTTTATCAAGAAGATAATACATCACCGAATAAATAGGTTTTGTAGACAAGCAGACTGCAGATTAGATGCTTCTTTTTAAAGATTTGCCAATGAAAGATAAGAAAAATCGAACTCCTTAAATCAAAATATTACATTCGCAAGGGACGACTTTTTTGTTTCGGGAAGGGGGGGGAGAGTCTTTTAAATTTTCTACAGACCCCTTTCTGGTTTTATTTGTCACTGTTTATCATTTTGGTTAGCTATGAGCTGACAAAGTTGTTTACGGATATCGAGAAAATGTATACTTTTGTGTTTGCTACACACTCCAACCATTTATAAATATTTATAACCCCAATTTAACTAGTAATATATCTACATTTTTCATAACACAGTCTTTTCTAATTTTAAAAACTTATTATGATCCCCGAAAGATAAGATTGATGGTTTCTTAATTACTTTCCCATTGATTTTGATTTCATGCAAAATAGCTCGGCATTGTCGCTGGATTTTAACTAAGCGATTTTTTGCAATTAGTAAACGTGCTCGCTCTCTATGTAACGTTTCCTAAACGACTATAACAAATCTAAGTCAAACCCAGACTTGTGGGCGGGGAAGGGGATAATAAAAGTTCATATTTTTTACACTGCACTAATTTATAGATAGTATGTACTCAACTCACAAATTTTCATATAATCTCATTAAAAACTAACGAGTTCTTTTTTAACTTTAAATTTTAATTAAGTTACTGAGTGTGTATAAGCTTCGCATAGCGTCTCAAAGAGACTTATAATGTTTTGAGAAATATAGAAAAGCAAATGCATAAAAAACTTTAAGCATACTAGCATGAGTGTTATTTCTTCGCATGAGCGTCCGTACGATAATTTACGCTATTTTCTTTGACCAGGTACAGCTTGTAGCGGAGGGTGGTATTACATCGATGGCGTGGTCATGTGAGAAGTTTAAAATGGAAGAGGGTGAGGAAAACGGGGAGAATAACGGAGGGCACGTGCTCGCAGTCGCACTGGGCAGCGGAGAGCTCGTGCTGCTGCGGGGGCACGATGACGTCAGCCCCGTTCGCGTCACCACCGGCCTGAGAGGCGCTACTCTCGTCATGGAGTGGGCAAACTCCCGGGAACTACTCGCGGTCGCCGGTACTTTGTTACCTGGTAAGATAGTCGTAAATTTTATCAAAGTTATACTAGCTGCTACCGCGAATTGCGTATCCCTTTTTTTAAGAGAATATATGCCTGGTTTTTTGAAAGATATTTAAAAAAAGGTCTAACAGTTTTTGAGTTTATCCATCGCAAACAAATCAAATCTTTTCTTTATAGTATCATTTATTTAATAGTATAGAGTATTACTAGCATATACCAATCTTAACTTTTATAATTATATGCTAAAGAGTACAAAAAAGAATCTGTACTTATATCGATATTATTTCGATAATTTATGTACACTGGTAGCTAACTTCCCTTTACTGTCTTGAATTCTTTACATGAAATAAATTTTAAGTAAAAACGTAAATGTCTTTCTATTTATATTTATTGTTCCTTAATTTTGACATTGGGTTACCTACTATCTTCTAAAATGTCGAAAATGTTGCCCTAAAAACTTGTTCTATCACATTCATAAAGCTGGATGTATACGCTTTTAACTTTATAAATAACATTAAAAATCTGTAGCAATTTATAGTCGTTCACTTAAAAACAAAAATTAATCAAACTTATTTTGTGATCAGATGGCATTAAGGAAAAGCTTAAAAAAGCCAAAAAAAATATCCGGACACGACCTAACACGTCAGACTAAATTCGGACTGAGGGAAGTAACATCTCATCTGTTTCCGGAGTTATCTACTTACACATAATACGATAAAATTATGTATTGTATAAGGAGTTTTTCATGAGACTTTATAATAAAATCAGGTTATATACCTCTATTCAGAAAAATAGATTTTACACCTACACAGGCTACGTGGATGTATTCAGCTCCCACTTTATTACGGTGTTGAAGCAAAGGCTTAAACCCTGAATGGGCGCACTGAAAACGAGCTTTTATGGGAATAAACGAATAAATACTTGTCCACGTTTATGAGTTTGAAAAATGATCACTTTTCTTGAGAACAACTATTCTGACTGATAAACGATATCAAGTAAAGCGTACCATGCAATCCGCTAGGAAATTTATAGCTACCATAAAAGTTTTATAGCCATAGGCTTTGCATGGTCCCCGTTTTCTATGGCAAATAGTCGCTTTGCCTACAACTATTTCTATGAGGAACATATCTATACCCTTGTAACGGACAATAACTCGTAAGTTTCACTTTGGGATATTTCTTCTATTAGATATTGGTTCACTTGAAATACAGTAACTGGATGAATTCAATTTAAACGAATTGCTTATAAATATCCAGAAATGGATTTGGAAAATTCAACATTAAATTAAATTATATTTTAAAAGAGGAGCAATTTCATATTTATTATACAGTAAAGTTGACTACGGAGGACACGTGCGATTGCCGCAAATACAAGAAATATGGGAAAATAATTTAAATTCTAACAATAAAAAGTCAAAGTTGTATTAAAATGCCACTTAGCAAAGCAGTACTCTACGGATTCAGAGACAGTATCGCCACTACGATTAAACGTATAAACTCAAGATTGAAATTGAAACTAGGTACAAGCGTACGCATCAAAAACCCAATACGCGCTATCTCAACTGAGTATGTTCTGGGGTTGAAAGGAAATATCGTATATGACATTTCAACACAACTCCAGAATTTGATGGCTTTCCTTTCCTTCTTGACGGTCCTTTCGATAATCAGATATTATATGGGCTTCCTCCATAGCGTTCAATAACTTCATGCGTAATTATGGAATTTTCTTTGCTAAAAATAGAACATTTCCATAAACTCTATATATTTCATTGATTTATACTGAAAGTAAACGATATAAAATTGTGAATATAATTGTATCAACGCTGAATACTTACTTATATAAAACGTCATTTCACTGCTGACATTATGTATAAAAACTTAAGAAACTGTCTTAAATTATCAATCTGTCTAGAATGTTCCTAGTTTAATTTGTTCAGGTGGCCTTAGGTACTCTTCCAAGTTCGAACACCGACTTATATTCTATAATACTAACTTTTTAAATCTAAGTTTTCTATTTCAGAACCGGACGAGCCGGCTGATTCGGCTCCTTATAAAAACGTGGTAAAGTTCTACTCGGACGCTGGAGTTCTTATTTACACCGTTCCAATACCGTACACTCAAGTAAGTATTCGTAATTTATAGGTATAATATCGGAGAGATTATTAGAAAAAGATAAACTTACGAATTTTCTTTTATATTACCAAAATAGTCTCTTATACACAACACGATCGACAGAATGCGAATAGAAGTACGAACATGAAGAAAGCGAAAGACTTGTGCAAGGACCATGTTTTCTTTATATCTAATCCTTAGGGGGATCTGACGTAAAGATAAGCATAGATCAGAAATTCAACAAGTAATTTATATCAAACAATAATAATAAGAGCAAAATATTTTTTCAATTACGAAATTCAGATATTTAATGAAATTGAAAATGAACATATCCTTTATTTAAATAAGCGCAATAAAAGCACTTTTAATCGTCTAAAATTGAGGACGTCTTTTGGCTGTCGAAATAAACTAGCGGAAGAAAATAAGCAGCTTAATATCCGAAGTAACGAACGTCATTTACTTTACATACATCAATCTAGACGCAGATATCACGCGTGAAATAAAACTACCTTGTTCTCAGAAGAGTGATATCACGCTCGAAATTAAGGTTCTACATAAGTTATTGAGTTTTTTTGAAGTCTATAAATTTTAGTTGGTGAGGCCACGTAGGTACGTTTGCTGAGAATCTCGTTTCTGTACGACTTGATTTTGCGGTTTGTGACGCGGTTCTATTAATCATTCTCGAATCGAAATTTTAAACGTTTCTCTCAATAAAACATTGAAATGTATTATTATTTGTATTAAAATGAAATGTATTAAAAGTTCACGCTCCTATTATTCATAACTTATAGTTTTGGAACTACAGTTCTAGGAAACGTACCTATATGAAAAATAAGCAATTTATTATTTAAGATTTCTGATAAATAACTTTATTTCACTATATTACGATCTTGAAACTTTATATAAATAGACTTTATAGTTACTTTATGTCAATGTCAATAGATCGTTTATCTATAAATATACTCGTATAAAAGATGTCCTGACTTACTGACTGACAGACAACGCACAGCCTAAACTGCTGGTCGTAGAAACTTGAAATTTGGAGGAAACATTGCCCTTAATACCTAGAGGTGTACTAAGAATGGATTTTTAGAAATTCTATACCGAAGGGGGTCAATAAGGGTGAAAATTTTTGTATGAAACTTCTTTGTTTATGGACCTATGTCGAAGAAAATTGGTATTTGGATAGTTTTAATTTCCTTTTTAGTAACCACTTTTTTAATTTTCAGCAACCATTCAGTAATCACAAACAATAAAATAAATATTTTGTTCATAATGACCGCCCTTGTTTTTAATACAAAAATACTTAGACGATTTGGCAAGACATCAATGGTGGCACGAATCTTTTCTAGCGGAATTCCTTTGCTTCTCGAACAAGGGTTCGCTTCAGTGACTCCAAGTTTGGGTGGGACTTTCGGCAGGCCCTGAGCTCTAATTCAGTCCATAAAAAATAATCCAGCGGTTTGATGTCGGGGCTGAAGGAGGTCCACTCGACCGCTGTGATGAAGGCCAGCACATTCTTCCTCAACTAAGCTTGGGTGCTTTTTGCCTTATGGGATGGCGCCGATTCTTGCTGGAAAACCCAATTCTTATTGTGTAATAATGTACCAGCAAGAGGTTTCACCACGGGTTCTAAAATGTCACTGATAATTCTTAGCTTTCACCTTGACACCTTATTGGCAGAAATGGAGCGGAGTGACACCTTCATACGAAAACAATACCATCACACTAGCCAGATGATGAGTGCGCGGTACATTCCGTGCACAAGCTGGGACATCCTTGCTAATTTTAGCCTACACTTTATTGTGTTGTCGGTTGAATTTTTCTTCAACAGTAAAAATTTTCTCGTGGGTGAAGAGTATCTTCCTGGCATCATGTCTCTTCAGCGGCAATGGACAACGTTCGCGTGGTAACTTACGAAGATGATCGTTTAAAAAGTGAACTTTTCTACGGCTGTAGACCTTAAGACCATATTTCAGTATTTTGTTCACTGAAACGCGCGAAATATTAGTCTGCAGAGCGAGTTTCTTCTGAGTGCTACATGTATTTCGGCGAAGTCGCTCTCAGATGATTTTGATGTTCGCAGGTGTCTTCACAGAGTGTGGCTCTGTGGCGACCTCCTTTGGCGATCTTGCAGAGAAGTTGTCTCTTTATATAGCTGTATTGTGTAATAGACGAAGTTACGGCTTATAGGAAAACTTTTCAGCTCGCGGAAAATCTGCATCGGTATTTTTCCCGTCTTAAATAGCGATACAAATTAAATTTGCGATACAAATAAACTAAAATTTAACATTAAAGGTTTACAAGGTTCACAAATTATCGGGTTGGCTAATAAATAATGAGCGACACGCGTAACTTAAATTTTTATTTATTTATTTATGAAATAATAGCTAATCATTCACAATGGAATCACCGTCGTTATTTGTCACTGTACGCCAGCGATTAGGCAAAGATAGGATTGCGTTTCTGTAAAACTTTACCGGTTTGGATTTGAAAAATTCATCTATGTACTATTGTAACTTGGGTTCATCAGGAAAGCTTTTTCACGCAAATGATTACTAAGAAACCGGTATATACGAGAGTCTTTGGCGCTGAGTCCGGTGATGATGTGGAACTATTTCCCTGTTCAGCTCCAATTGTTTCTGTCGGGTACTCTTAGCAATTTGCGGTCGGGCATTATCATGAGGAAAAACATTTTCAAGCTTCAGATTATCAAGTTGATTACAGTTAACGTTCGCTGCGATCGTGGTATTGGTAGAAAGAATTTCCCAGTATATTATTACTCCATGTTCGTCCCACCATACCGAGAGCATCACCTTGCGAGGATTAAGATCTTTTTTGGCATAGGTTTGCCTGGTTCGTTGCGGCCTAGCCACTGGCGCTTGAATGTATGGTTAACATACAGAACCCACTTTTCGTCGCCAGTGACGAGATGATCTAGCCAGTTAAATATACGATGAAATAGATGTACACATATCGCTGCACGGTAAGCGAGTTGATCCTCGGTCAGCTGATCGGGTACCCAAAACCAATTTTGTAAGACTTTCCTAATGCATGCAAATTATTTTCAATCATATCATGAGAGTAACCAAGCTCTACAGCCAAATCACGTGTGCTGAGTCTAGACTCTTCTTCAATTAACGTCTTCAGTTTATTTATATTTGTTTCTATTGGACGCCCAGACCTCGGTTGTTGTTGGGAGTGAGCTGTTGCCTGGGAGACTGCGTTATGAGCTACGAATTGGTATATCTTACGTGCAGCTTCTGCAGCGGAATGGTTGTACTTATATAATAAATTAATATTATCGTTGAAGTTAACGCAACGACATTCGTAGTATTACTGGCGTGCATGATCACGACTCGCTCTTTATATACCCTTTATATACCTGCTCTTTATATACCTTCTTGACCCAACTCAATAGAACGTATAACGTTCGAACCATAGAACGTTCTTGACCCAACTCAAAGTATATTAGGGTAGTGTATTAGCTTTCTGAAAATAGACGAAATATCGTTTACAGAGAAACAGGGTAGGCCTATTTGACGTCGCGTGGTGTGACTGGTATAATTATGTGTGTGTGTATGTTTGTGTAGGCGACGGTGAGCGGTCTGACGTGGGGTCACGCGGCGCGTCGCTTGTTCGTGGGCGTGGGCGGGGTTGTGTGCACGGCGCGCGTGTGGCGCGTGGTGGCGCCGCTGCAGCTGCTGGCGCGCGTGCGGGCCGCGCAGGCGCTGCGCCATCCGAGACTCGCCGCGCGACTGCCGCTGCCGCCGCGGCTGCAGCCCGCCTTGCACAACCTCTTCGCGCACACTATACGGGTACGTATAACATTGGACAGAGCGATAATAAAAACAGAACTAAAGGTGATTAATAAATTCAAGTAACGTCTTTTAAAGTGGGCAGTATATATATTAATAAATGTGCAAAAAACATTTTGGTTTTTCCTACCTACGTGGTGTTATATGAATTCTTGACCTTATTTTTGATTGGGAGTGAAGTTAAATCACTTAAAATATTGCAGCCCTAAGCCTTTGCGGAGCAGTTTACATAAATTGAAATAAAATGTACCTACCTGATAAAATCTAACGACAGTTTGGGTCGTAGTTATACCATCTGCTCATTTATCTTCAAAATATATTAATGTTCGATGTGATATACAATATACATTCATTCGCGATCATCTTAAGTCGAATATGAAAACTTATGATAATATCAAACAATATATTGTTTGAGATTCCTATAGGGTTTACCCAAGACCAAATTATCATTTTTATATTGATCCCGTTGGTTAAGTTCTATTAGGCCATCATATTTTTTCGCAGTGTAATGTGCCAGAGACGAATGAGCTACGTCGTTTCGTATCGCGGCCTCCATCAGCCGGGGGACGGCTACACTGCACCATGCTCCGTCACGACGACGAGGAGACCGGCGCGTACACGTTGTATTTAGAACATCTCGGTGGACTCGTGCCTCTGTTGAAGGGACGTCGAACCAGCAAGATACGGCCGGAGTTCGTCATATTTGACCCACAAGCTGAAGGTAACTCGGCGTTTACCAATGAACGCTAGACACAACTCTCACTATTCAAACTCCATTTTTGAATTCTTGTTGAATTATTTTTGTTAGTTTTTATTAGGGTCCGACCGAAACTGGTTTTTACCGAAACTTCCTTACGAGGATCATCTTTTGAAGATAAATAAAGAAAACATTATTATAATCGGCCAGTTTGTATTATTAAAATCGGTGAAATATTAAAAACTCTTTACCCCAAAAAAAATGTCTCATCAAAATATATCTGTCAGCCGTATAATATATAAAGTACTTTTTTAAACGTAAATAACTATTCGCTGATTTATTATCATCGCCGTTTGTTAGAGGGCGTTAGTACAGCGGTGACGGCGACAGTCCGCGCGAGCAGCAACAGCAGCAGCAACAGCAGCAGCAGCGGCAGCGGCAGCGCCAGCAGCGCCGGCCGCGCCTCGCCCCGCGCCCGCGTTCCCCCGCCCCCGCCCCCGCACGCTCACTCCTCCTCCTCAGACACAGAACCGGAGGAAGGTAATACAACACATGCAAATATTTTACCACTGTCATCTCCTTGCGCTGGTAACAGTAGAAAATAGAACAATTTGATGAGTACTATTAGCGAGAAATATTTATGTCAATTCAAGTAAATTTTTTATATAGCGATTACTTAAATATTGAATTTTAATTATTTATTTGTACACAATATATAATTTCCATAGTGCATTTGATACTCTACCCTCAAATAACTTACGTTTAAAATAAAGTGGGAAAGACAGATTTGTAAACTTGACGTGCTGTTGGCTATATATAAAATAGAGTCGCGCGTTTCATTGAATTCTATCGTCGGTCGCGCAGGTTGTTCCGGCTCGCCGCGATTACAGCGGCGCCGGCGCGCTCGAGAACGACGGAAAGTCAGGAGTCATAGCGACAAGGACGACACACCCGACGAACTCGCTTATATCGACTCTTTGCCTGAGGTAACATTTTTGTATCTCGTTAATTGTAATAAAATGCCACGTTATTTGTCGTAAATCAGAAATGCGGTTGTTGAATATTTTATATAAGAAAATGTAATCGGATTTAAGATTATATTGTGAAAGTTATGATATTCTAACATTGTCCGTTTTTTAGGACGTACGATTAGTAGAAGTGACGTCTAATATCTGGGGGACGAAGTTCAAAATGCACGGTCTCGCTAAAAACGTTCCGGCCAACCTGGGGCAAGTCACCTACAAGACCTCGCTGCTGCATCTCCAGCCGCGGCAAATGACGCTCATGATCACCGAGCTCCGCGATGACTACCCAGTCGGCCCGGACCCCACCTTCAATCCGAACATATTCTCCGAAGATGAGGAGGAAGTCTTCCAGTCGAACGACACGAACGATTCACCTTCGCACCACAACAATAACAACATACGGAGGAAGCTGACCCTCAGCGAAAGAATCAACAACTCGAACAACATGAATCAGAGCGACACGTACAATTCGAACAACAACATCCCGACCGGAGCGGCGCTCGCTCGTGCCGAGTCGTACGAGGAGTTCCCCTACATCGACACGATAGCGAGCGACTCGATGAACAACGTGCCCGAGAACGTGTACAATTCGACGCCGCCCTTACGGCACACGCCAGCGGCCGAAAGGAGAGTGAACAACGCGGCCGGCGTGCCCAGTCGACACGCAATCTCCCCGTTGCGCTGCGAAGGATCCGTGCCCACGCTGCAGTCGCCCAAGAATGCGGTCGCACCCACCGATATCATATTCGAGAGGCCGTCCCCGCAGACGGTCGCGTGCGGCGGCCGCGGGGACTTCTGCGGCGGCCGCGCGGACTACGGCGTGCGCGGCGACGGCGTCTCACTGAAGGCCAACCTGCCCGGCGTCGACCAGCAGACGTTCGGGCTCAACCTCGGCCTCGAGCCGAGCAGGCAAGTCACGATCAAGAAGTGCGACGGCCCCGTCGCCGACAACTGTCTCTCGAAGCTCCGCAAGAACATCTGCGGGCGCGGCGAGGCGACCGCCTACGACGTCAACACGAGGATTCTCAAATCGCTCTGCAACAAGAGCTACGAGCACGAGGTACACCCGGACGCGCTCGCGCGTCGCGCCGACACTCTGCGGGGGCTGCAGAAGGGCGACGATCTCAAGTACATAGACGAGGAGACGGCCGGCGACCCGTTCCCCGGTGACCGCGGGCGCGTGCAGCGCACCACTACCGTGGTCGCCATCAGTCCCGTGTGCGCCGCCGGCCCGCTCTACGACACGATGACGCGCAGCTGTAGCGTCGGCTACCTCGACCTGGTGGACCCGCACGCGCGCGTGAGCCTGGCCGCTCTGCGCGAGCCCCCGCGCCGCCTCGTGCTCGTCAGCGACAAGCGCCGCCGGCTGCGGCGCGCCGTCCGCGCCCTCGACCCGCGCCCCGCCCCACCGCTCCAGCGCTGCGGCAAGTCGCGCAGCCTCGACTCGAGCGAGCTCGCCTTCGCCGCGGACAAGCGGCCGCGGGAGCCGGCCCCGCCCGCCGGCCCCCCGCCGCGTCGCGACAGCACCGGCGACGACGACCCCCTCACGAGCGGCGACGACCGCGCCTATGAGCCGTGCGCCGCGTGCCGCGCCCCTGCCTCCACCGCGCGAGGCGCGTGCGCCGCCTGCGGCCGGACGCCGCCGCCCGCGCTCGCCCCCGCGCCCCTCCCCGCCCCCACCGACTCCGACTCCGACTACAGCAAGTATTATAGTTAGTACAATAAGTAGACGCTTCGCTCTCCCCTCTGCACGACTCGGCGGCTACGTCGACTCCGTTCGCTCGAGCCTCGCCGGGGGGTTTCTGGAGACGCGCCGAGCCATTTCGCTTTTGATCTCGGTGCACGCCTCCGGCATGAAGCTTTCTCTCGCTTCGTATCTCCGACTATCGCCAACTTCTTTCACGCTTATATCGCAACGAGAGGTACGTAGATAGCGATAGATATTTTAGAATGTACGTAGAAACTATATTTCTTTGCACGATACCGACTCGTGAAGCCCTCCGCTGCAGATTTCCGACTCTTCGGGGGTGAAGCGCACGACTGCACCGGTACGATTGGCGCAACGATCACATCACGTCAGCACAAGCACCGGCACGATCGAAGATCAATGTCTGAAAAATTAATGAAAGTCGTGTTGTGTAGGTTCGCTGGAGCAATTGGCGTTGCGGTTACTGGCGTCGCGAGCAGGGCGCAAAATGCGTGCAACGAGAGAGACGGGGGCGGCGGCGGGGGCGGGGTTAGGGTCGAGCGCGGGGACGGGCGCGGGCGCGGGGGTGGCGCGGGAGGTGAGCTCGGCGCCGGCGTCCCCGCGGTGCGGCCGCGCGCGCCCCGCCCCCGCACCCGCGCCCGCCACGCCCACGCCCCGCCGACATCGATACTCCTCTGCCTCACCCATTAGGTTCGTATTCATATACCTGTTGTATAGTAAATAACTGACTGATTGGATTGGAGCAATCCGATTCAAATCCAATCAAAGTCCTTAAGTTAATGTGTAGTAGCGAGAGTAGTATGTGTCAGAAAGAACATGTAAGTACGCTAAACACAGTCGAGATGCGTTCGTTACATAGAGTTTACAGAGTAATGCCTGCATCCGCATTCGGAATGGAGAGATAAATATGAGAGTTGACTTGAAAGATAACGTCGATGCAAAAAATAACAGAAACATGCTCCGTTGGTTCGGACATGTAGAAAGAATGCTGGATGAAAGAATGATAAAACTGATACACAATGCAAAAGTGTGTAAGGGCCGTACATTGTGGCGTTCGGTCTTCTCTGCCTACCCCGCCAGGGATATGGCGTTAAGATATAGATAGATTACGTAAAGCAATTATATAGTAACAAGTAGTAACAAGTAGTATAGTAACATTTGTCCTTGAATTTAGATAAATGTAATATAATAACTTTTACTCGTAAACATAACCCTATTCACTTTAATTATAGAGTCTCTGATCAAAGCATAACTCGTGTAAATTCAATCCGTGATCTTGGTATAATTTTAGATTCGAAACTACATTTTAACTTACATATTGATTATATAATAGCCAAGGTATATAAATAGTTGGGCTTGATCCTTCGCTTGGGTAAGGTTTTCAAAAATGGTAATACACTTTAGATTTTATATAGCGCCTACGTTCGCAGCATTCTCGAATTTGGTAGTGTAGTTTGGAATCCTCAGTATGCAGTTCATAAGGATAGAATAGAACGTGTTCAGCACAAGTTCTTGAAATCATTGAATTACAAAACTGGTTTTTATTGCCATGATTACGAAGAGAGCGCAAGAAAACATAAAATACAATCACTATCCAGTAGGCGACACTACTTAGATTCTATATTTCTGTATAAGCTAATTCTCGGTCATATTGATTCGGCAGCTTTGTTACAAAAAATATTACTGAAGGTTCCTCGATCCTCAACACGTTCGAAGAATACTTTTTGTATTGCGTTTTGTCATACGAAATATGCGCAGAATACCTTTCTCAGGAGAACATGTAATTTTTACAATGGGTTTTTGAATGAGATAGATATTTTTTCAATTTCAATTAATGTTTTCAAGGCAAGAGCGAGGGAATTATTGTTTAAATAGTAATTTTGTAATAATTAGTGTGGCTCATATGAGATATACATTCATTCCCTTAAAAATGGGTGGTTTATGGCCGTAGTTTTGTTTGCTAATGGTGCACTGTTTATATGATGTTCGTCATTTACATGCATTGCTTGCTATCGATATTATTATGCTGTCAATTTATGGTACTATAGGTCTGTTTGTTAACAGTAGCTTCAACATTATCTGTATGTGACTGTTTGATACCTGAATAAATAAAATAAATAAATAAAAGTCTCAACTCATCTTTAACCGATGGCAGACTAAGCGGAGCAAAAATACAACAATTATTCCTTTCTCGACAGTACCAATTAATTTGCCTGTGATGACGTTATTTCAGAAAAGATGGTCGAAGGTGAAGCGAAGCTTATATTTACGCATGGATTGTAGAATTCGGTTTTGGTCGTGCATCTTTCAGTGAAATCACGTGACAAGCGTCAAAATCGACAAAGCGATTATAATAGTTTGTGAAATTTGAAACATTGGAAAGATATCTATTTTACATGGAATGGCTGTAGAAGAGATGCATGGTAATTTTAGATGAGTTAGGCACCATTTCACAAAGCTAAAAAAAAGAGTTGGATTAAGAACTTAGGAACTGCAAATTCCATGTAACTAAACGAAGAAATATTCATTTAATTCGGAATGTAATTAATAATCCCTTAATTTGGTGTTCCAAACTCTAACCCTCGTATATTTTTACGCAATATGATATGAAATAATATCTTTTCGATGGAGGAAACGACACGTTTGTAATATCTCGTTCTCTTACAGGCAATTGTTAAATTCGCCACTTTTAAACCGAAGAAGGAACAAAAAGCCGTCCGAAAGCTCCGATGACGAGTATTCGAATGGCGGAGGCTACAGCGAAGTGAACAGTAAAACCTATAGAGACTTGGAGAGCTTCCAGAAGGCTCAACTGAGAAATAAGGTAGCTGACATATTATCATAATACCTAGTTACAATATAAAAATATAGTAATTTAAAATCGTCGGCTCCATGGAGCGTAGGGGAGGGGTGTATAGGAAGGGCGCTATACGAAGTTTCTGTCCAGGTTCGCTAATGCTAGTAGTAGTGAGGCTTCATTCACATGTTTTAGGAACGTATAAGCAAAATAAAACAGCTGAAAGAGTAAAAAAAACAATTTTCTAGTAAATTGTCGATTTATGCATTGTGACGTGACCGATAATTCGAAAAAATATTTTCGAATGAAAGAAATATCTTTGGAAAAATTTCAAAATATGGTAAACTTACTAAATGGAGCCGATACTAACAAGAGGGAGTGCGTATCTTCCAAGAGGTACACGCCTTGCGTACGTCGTTTTGTCATCTCACCCTCATAGATTGTGGTCACTATTTGATAATAGTCGCAGTTTTATAACGAACTAATTATCGGACGTGAGTGGTTTAAAGTCGTCTCTAGGCTTATCGAAAATCCGGCTCAGCACACGCCCTTAGTATATAGGTCAAATCTTGCAAGGTTTTATACCTAGGTTTTCGATTAAGCTGAAATTTTGCACGCTATGACAATACAATATTAAATAACTCGAATGACAATACAATATTAATATAGAATAGACCTGATATGACGATGGCAGGTAAGCCGCAAAAGTAACCCCATCGAATTTAGACTAGTTTGCGTTGTCTTGATAACAACTTTGGTCCGTGATAATGTCCCAGGTCGATGGAACTGAAGAGTGGCCACGGGAATTTTGTGATTATACCAAACTACCCGATCGAGTTTAAGGTAGTTTGATCTGTATATACGTGATCACTGGTCCGGTATAATATCCAACTGACGCTTGTTTTTTCAATAAATTTCTAATTGGGGATTAGCTGAAGCGAGCGGGCCCAGCAGGGACGGGTGCGGGTAATGGGTCTGGCGGGGAGAGGGGCGGGGAGCGGGGTGGGCGGCGGCAGCTGGTGATGCACAACAAGGCGCCCATGTGGAACGAGAACAGTCAGGTGTATCAGCTCGACTTTGGCGGCCGCGTCACACAGGAATCCGCTAAGAATTTCCAGATCGAGTACCATGGAAAACAGGTAATAAACTACTTTATCCATTACTAGCTGGAACTCGCGGCTTCGCCCACGTGGTCCGAGGATACTGCACACACTGGTCCCCTATACTGGAGTCTTAAGCTAATTTATTATCATTAGGTTATCAGCATCCTCACTGTTGGACTTGCCCAATTGATGGAACCAATTAAGAAAAATCTACCGGTGTTAACATGCATGTCTTCATATATAAATAGTCCAGTTCCTCTTCTTTCCATTTTAGTGCGCAGTAGTATCAACACGCCTTGCAAAAAATACAAACAAACGTTTTCTTTGAAATAGTAGTCATTTTATTGAAATTGTTTAATAGTTACGTCGTCATTTTGCTTGGATCTAGATATTTTACTACTGTGCTTATTCGGGACTTTCAGATAAAGGCCTTCAATTTAAGGGTTTAATACAGCCTGATGCTATGCTTGTGCAAGATTCTACCTGAGCTTTCTCAATTCAGCAACTTCAGAGATTTTAGTTTAGCGTGACATCAAATTAAATTTTGCCAGCAGATATTCTGCCATCTCTTCAATTTATAGGCATCCAGTCAGTATTTTTTTCGCCAAATTTATTATTTAACTCTGATACTTTGAATTTTAGATAAAGCTATTTCCTAACTCATTTCAACTGTTCCTAGCTTATTTCAAGTATTTTTTATTTTTAGTTATTCTTAATTATAGGCAGTTAAGTACATTTTACGCAAACATAATACCCCTCGGTTATGTACTCGTATTAAAGTATCTTGTTAATAGTCACCCATATATTAATTTGTCGTCTAATTAATAATTCTCCATTAAAATATATTATAAAAAATGAAGGGTTCCGTACCATTCAAACAAAAAAACACTTAAGCTCTATAATTAGTATAGATATAGATACCATGACCATGCTATGAACGTATCGAATACTGGAAATAAATGACACGGTCTACTTACTATCCGGTGCGGATTAACAGCACGCTATGACACAATCGGTCGAGCGGATGCGTTAGTACACGATTGATCACCTGTCATAAAATATAATCTGTACTAATATTATAAAGAGCAAATATTTGATTGTTTGTTTGTAACGTATAGGCTTCGAAACTACTGGACCGATTTTAAAAATTCTTTCATCCAAGGAAAGCTTCATCATATACGGTGAACATAAGCTATATTTTATTCCGAAAAACAGCAAATAAGGAAATGAAAGTGGGAGTGGAAGTTTGTGAAGGGAATTAAAAGGCTGCCATAATAACCATTGTTTGCTATTCATCATTGTAATTATGTCCGTGTCTTGCATTATATGAATCGTCCAAATAAATAGTTCCCTAGTGACCACGTGGGCGAAACCGCTGGCGAAAAGCTAGTACTATATATTTTGTATACATATTTCCATCAGATATGTACCAACCCTAAATTTTGTACAATACTTTACGAACTTGTACTAAGATTAAAAAGACAAAAAAGGTGCATGATTAGTCCGTCTGAACATACAATTACGTGTACGTATACACCCCTTTGTAAAGCGTAGAACGTGCCAGGCAAAAACAGAGGTATTAAACTCCCATCCCAATGGGTTCGAGTCCCATCTCAGAGTGCCAGAAAGAAGGTGGATTTTTTAAGCATTTTTATCAAGAATACCCTTAATATAGTTCAGTTAAGTATTGAGGCATATAATTAATTCAATCTAACCTAAAGGAGATTGTCCATCGATCGAAGTATGGAGTATGGAAATTTGTTTCAAATCACATTGGTAGGTACTTATCATATTATTACCCCATTTTTAAGGTATAGGTATCTGTACTTAGCTTTGCATTAAAACTTAATAGAACGATAATTTATTTATTTGTATATCAGGTAATGCAGTTCGGTCGCATCGACGGCAATGCTTACACATTGGACTTCCAGTACCCCTTCTCGGCGCTTCAAGCGTTTGCTGTAGCGCTGGCCAACGTCACACAGCGGCTCAAATAATAAAACAAGTTACAACTCCAAACTCTTTACTCCACCATTAGAAAAGATTTCAACGTTCGTCGCAATCATTTCTTAATGCTTTTTAAACGCCATTAAAATAAGAGAAAGTATTAATATTGCTAATCGTACCAGTTTTTTATGCCAGAAAAAAGTTTTAAACGCACAATTTGCGTTACATCCATCGTTGCCGAAAAAGAGCTTTAGAAACTGCGTCATATTTATGTAACGCTCCTTGCGTTTTATTCATTGCGGCGTACACTAGTACACAAGGAACAGTTAATATATAAATATCGACAATCTGTCAGTAATGACTTCGTCCGCATAGAAACTTCGGGAAATCATTCTAGTATAAATAGGTACTCGTATAGTATGAGTGTGTCAAATTCAAGTCCGTATATAAATATAGGTCAAGGAAAATTTTTAGATGTCGAGATGTCGAGATTCAGTGTGTGAATGGTATTTTGCTTCTAATGAAATCGTTAATTGCAAAATGGGTAGCCTGTTCGCTGCAGTGGAATAGCAGCTTTAGTCAGCTAAAAGACCCATCCATATTTTTTTTACACAAGCTTAGATAGGTAGGTTTCTAAAATACTTATCCAATTCAGTCTCAATGCAAATATGTGAAATGTTTGTGCCATTGGGACCATGACACGTTAAAAACTGCGTGTCTTATACCCAAGATTATAAATTACGATAAAAGATATTTTAGGTACAAAATGTTGACTTTTTCACTATAGACGGTATAGTATGAATATTACGAACACTCTTAAAAATATTGTATTGTATTAGCTATTATATTTCTGTAATATGATTTATAGTCTACAATTCTATATGTTACTTTAAACAACCATATTCATTGCTATAACACGATTATGCTTAGATTAATTATATTTAACTGTTTAAAATAATTCTGGCATTCCTATATTTTCATTGCAATGCAGTTACAATATTTGCCGACGGTCAAGCAAAAAATGTGTTTATGTGACGCGCAACTATTAAAGCTGAACCCGCGTGGACACGTGTCACGTGCGCGTGCGTACATCAGTCGCCGCGTAACTATGGAAAGCACATATAAATAGATAGCGAACTTCATATACGTTATCGTTTAAAAATATGTTTTATCCTTACTTTACTCCAATAAAAACCAAAGTATCCCGAGATTGAACACTACAGGGTTGACATATATCTTTTTGTAAACTTGTATAAATTATAATAGTAAGTTGGTTTATGCCTTCTACGTGTTTCATTTGCAAGATTTGATGATCTTCTCAAGACGACTGCTTGGGAGTGTTCAATTAAATGTATTAGATAATAACTCTTCGTATTCATGTCAGGCGTCCACGCGCACGCACTGTCTGCGTAACTCTTTTAAAGACCACCAACCTATACCTACACATATTCAGAAGCAAACGCTTCCAAAATGCGAGACCTTAATATAGTACAGTATTGCATTACTCATATCTCAGAAAAACCGCATCGTGAGATTACATGGAAACGCTGATTATATGATATCGGTGAACACTAGAGTCAAAACAAAATTGATAATATTGGAAGCGACGTTTCCTCATCCATAACAGTTATTGCAATGAAATGTTCGACGTTGACAAATGTTATTTAAATCAAATGTAAGGAATAGAATAATTATTATTTTATTAAATTTTTAGTAAATAATCGATGTAGTGGAAAATATGATTTTTATTAATTATCTTGTTACACGTGTTTAACAGTTTTTTTAATTTTTTTATTGTTAAATTGCTCATTGTTATTTATTGTATTAACATTTTGTTTTTTTATTTTTTTATTATTAAGTCTGTGAGTTCCATTATCTCATGTACCTACTTAATATGGAAGTTACATGTAAGTAAGTTTAAACATTGTTGTGCTCCTCGAAAGCACTAATTTGAAAAAAAAATAGGCCATTATAATTGTTGTGAGTGTTTATATTGAATAAAAATATGTGTCATGTATCAATTTGGTATTAACAGATTAAAATTATATTGTTGCAATTTAAAAAAAAGTTAAGTATTAATTATTAAAATATGAATAATCCTGGGTGTACAAACTGACATTTTTTTTATGTTTTCGTAGCGATATGTTATTATTTGGTATTATTGTTGGTATATTATTTGGTCATAATTTCAAAATGTTGACATATCGGACGTTAATTAATTACATAAATATTATTTCACTATTTGATTTAAGACTGCACATTGTAAATATATTTTGTGATACATACATATGTTAAAGTAAGTTACTTATTCATCTTATGCTAAGTCATTATTATACAGTGAAGTGAGTTGATGTTTAAAATGTTTTGTTTGCGCATAAATAGTTGGATTTTGTTGTTGTTGGTTCACATCCCCTTTGATCTAATGTTTATGATATTTGAATAAAAATACTAAATTTTTACTAAAATTCCTAGTCACTTAGCATTAAGTATATGGCACAAATATAAACATTATTATATAATATTTATTTAAAATGCACACTTGATAGTTAGGATTTATTTAAAAAAAGGATTTTTGTCTCTTTCTTTTGTCATCGTTTATTTCCTTAGCTTCATTTTTTATTTTGTCCTTACGCAGATAGCATCATAATCATTTAAGCGACAAAGTTGCATATTGATTGTACCGCAAAGCTATCAAAATATAATGGCATAATTTCTTTAAATTATCTAGTAATAACTTGTTTCGAATCGACTGAACTTGATTGGAGTCGAATAGTGTTGTATTGAGTCAAATTGAGTCCAATCGCGTTGTTGGTTATATGATAAATTTGTAGAAAGGGTGTCCCTAGATGATTCGTATGCTTTGCATACATAGATCTAATGCAACTTTGGTTGGTTGTCTTTAAGTAATTAAACTTGACATCTTTTTTATTAATTTGGGCACAACGCCCTCTATGAGCGGAGTAAGCGAATTTAAAATGTGGAAATCATAGACTATGTTTTTAATAAACAAGGTTTATTAGCGTTGGAGTAAAACGCTGAGACTGCACTTAGTATTAGTCAAAATTCATACTATTAAACAGAGACTTAGCTAAGAATTACCTAGTACGAGGCTACGGGAGTAATATTCACTCCTAGAAGGTAGTAGTTTTGGTTATACTCTGTATAATATAAATTTGAACTAATAATAAAATTGCAATTTTAGCGTAAATTTACTTTAAACCTTGTTTATTAGTAGCACTGAATATGTATAGTACAGAGACTAGACAAATTTATATAATGCAACGTAACAATGGAGAGCCAAATCTATAAAATTGAATTGAATCCGTAAACGTTAGATCAAAAGACTGTTGACATTGTCATTGCTTTTTAAATATATTTCACTTGTCCCTTGTACATAATTATTATAGTGACAAAGTGTAAATAAAAACTATTCTACAGTATCTCATTTGTTTTATTATAAACAGTTATAAATAGTTAAATTAACAATTGTACCCTATAACACAAAGATTTTCATTTGCAATTACTTTTTAAAAACATTATTATTATAAAATTGTTAGATTAAGTCACCGTTTTCACAAATCCTATTCGCCGAACGTTCCCGTTCACGACAGTTTTACCAGCATCATTAGATAAGTATCTTTTATATTGTATTTTATGATTTTTTTATAACTTTGCCACTTGTTATTTTTTATTGTTGCTTTTCTTATCAATTTGTAGTATTCTATGTGTTTTTATATATCCTTTTTTTTTGCTAAACTATCCCTTTTATTAACTGCAGTTCCATTCTTGTCGATAACAGTTCCATTTAATCGCTTGAGAACTAATGAATTTCATCATGACAGTTGAATATGATAACAAAAACGATACATTAATTTAAACATACATGCAATAATAGTTATGCAATGAAATATTTAATTTAAAATTACGAAATTTTAAAAAGTACAGTCTTCTTAATCCACCGATTTCCTACTCAAAATTTCGCCTGGCGACACTACTGTCTTTGCAATGTGCCACAATTTTAGTTCCGAACAGTTTATCTAACTTTATTTAATTATAATAAAGATATATGTATAATCACGGTTTAGCGATATAAAATTGATTTCTAAATAGTATTAGTAGTTTTGATTAAAGACAACACTTTTTTTCAATAAAACTATATTGTAAGTCATAAAAGTTGATTTTATTTTAATATCTTTTGAGAGGCAAAACACTTAATGTTTCCCCATATAGACACTGGTTTTGTAAAACTAGTTAAATATTGTTTTACAGTATATACGAAATTGCAGTTGTTAAAACATGTAATAAATCAGGTGGTTATAATTAGGAATCATTATAGCAAGATAATAGGGGTGACTACTATTTTTGTTCGTTTGTCCGTCAGGTAGAGTGTTAAAAAATATTAAACACGTATTTTTAATTTTTTTCGTTATCATAAAATCACGGCGATACATGGAGTTGAAATTTCACATGACGTCACGTTATGGTATGTTTTCTACTAAACTGAGACGAAGCGAGCCTTCACTCCTCAACTTTAATGCCTGTTATCTAAGCTATTTCTAGTTAAATTGAAGTTAAAAAAAAAATTCGTATCTTATATTTTTCTATTATCTGACTGACGGACTAAACAGAATTGCATTTTTTTTACCCAGTCGTCATCCCTATTGATTTTATCCTAATATTGGTAAATTAATTAGATATATTTACGAGCAGCATGTGGAGCAGGAAGCCACCATCGCATAATAGATAACTGAGCGCCTTCTCGCTTGTTGTATAGAACTATAATGCAAACATGTCGAGTTGAAGTGAGTAACACAGTAAATACACTAACGTGTGCTTTCATCATTAGTTACATTTACTTATTAATCTTATAATACACTATTATCACTGTTTTCAACTATAACATATTTTTGTTATTAGAAAATATGCATTTGATTTAATTTAAATTAATTAGATAAAGAAACCTACTTTCAAAATTTTATTAATGATTTATGTTCAGCTAAGTTTGCTAACAGCTATAATTCTCGTATATCAGATTTATAAAGAATTCAGTGAAAATTGATGAAAACTGATCGGAGAATTAAAAAGGAAATTTTTCAAAAGTCCAACTCCCTTTCATGTCATATAGAGGGTTTTGAAAGTAGGTCCTCTAAAAAAATTGTCTCTTACAAATTTTTTATCAAAACAGATGAGTAAATCTACACAAATTCACTGAAACTCATTATGCACATTGCAATGTTGTTTGGTCTATCATAGCCACCCATTTGGGCAGCCTAGCTTCCTATGCTAATCACTTTCACCACCACTTTGCCCAGGAACATAGTCTGCATCATCTTCATCAGATATATCCAAGTCATCCAAATCTTGAAAGAGAGATTCATCAACTTTGACTGCATCTCCTACAAGAAAAAAAAAGTATTCAATAAGATATACTGACATAGTTAAGTCAAAGATATTACATTAATATATGATAAAGTTAATACAAGTTTGCTTTGAGAATATTTTTTTCATTTGATTTCTGGCAGAGGTTGTACTTTCTTTTTCAGATATAAATAGAAAATTCTAATACCAACAATGAAATGAAAGACTTAATGGAATAAATAATATTATTATTTTTAGCCTCCAATTATGGTGGCAGTGATGAAGTGGGTGACCATTTGTCCCATACTGTATAGTGATGTAATAAATTTTTTGATTATATATTTATGATTTATTAAAGTTGCCAGTTTCAGATATACAGATTAGTTTTAATTAATAAACTGCAACAAGTTCCAATAAATCACTTGGAAATCATTGATTTTTTTATTCATTGCCTGCTTATTAAAATATTTTAACACTAAAACTGACTTCAGACAGTCGATAAATAAAATTATACCATCGTTAATGAATTATAAAAATTGTTTTGTATTCAGGTGAAGATTTATTGACCACACTTTTAGCCATCCAACCTCCGAAGAAAAGCCTTGAATTATTGTTCAACAAAGAACCTTAAAATATTTCAACAGTTTACAAGTTATCATTAAAAGGTTCATACTGACCATCTGTACCTAGATGTAAACAAAAGCTTGTAAAGCTTTTATCAAAGAACTTATATGGCTTTTTTTAATTTACAATTTAATAATTAAGCATTTTATTCCGAGGCACAATAAAGCTGGATTCACATGTCCCTCGTCTTGGTCAGTCCGCAGTGGTTAGCTGGCCCAAGTATGTGTACTCCTCAACGAATTTGAGGGTTTCTTGATTAACAGTTATGTTTGTTTTAGTGGAGTTGGCCTTGGTTGGATTGATTTTAAGTCCTATTTTCATGCTTCCAAATTTCTCCTCAAAAATGACCAAATCATCAACAATAAATTTATATTAAGACCAAAAGCATTTCCAGTTTAGGTGGAGAAAGAAGCTCGCAAGACATAAGTAAAATATTTTATCAAAGAACTTATCCGGTTTTCTTTAGTTTGCAATTACAGATAGTCAGATCTACAGATAATTGAATGAATAAGAGAGATGATGTTACTGTAAATTGTACTATTTATTAGGAATACAAAATTGATTTTAATAGTACAGAATTTTTATACCCCAGAGCATAAAATAGAAAGATAACCTTATTACAACATCTACATTAATTGCATAGAGGGTATACAAGAGAAATTTGTATGGCACTTAAATTTCAAAGGCAAAAAAGTTGATATCACAGAATCATATGTTGAGGCCTGTCGTGCTTACAACCTAGTTCTAGATATGGGTCTGCTGTAGGACATTATTCATGATTATCTTGACTGTCTAGAGCTTCTAAATCTTATATTCCTTTAGTACTCTCCCAAATCATACTAGGTCCAAGCACTTGCTACATGTTTTATTGCATTGCACCTATTATGGTCAATACTCTGTACTATCGTTACCAAACTTTATAATAGTAAATTTAGTAATGTTAACCTTTTTGTTCATTCTAAAAAACAATTCTTATACAGAATCAGTAATTGTTTGACTGAATGTTAGTAGATTGTATCACAATAACATTTTTTTTGTCATAAAAGTATGTGTAGAGCCTATTCATTTATTTATTTATCCAAATTTTTATCTTCCTCATTTTTTTATATACTTACAAAATACAATTAACTATAAATGCATATAAAATACTTATATGCATATAAATATCTTTCAAATTCAAAGTGATTGTGATAGCTTTTAAAATTAGACAAGCAGGTCACTGATTTCTTTTAACTAAGATAAACCATAAAATACAACTAAATGTATAATAGTGTAACCTTCATTTAGTAAATAACTCACCATCATCCAAGAATTTAAGATCAGACTCATTAAGAGTTGTGTCCCTTAGGAACAGTTCCTTTCCAGTCAATTTGTTTTTATCTTTCATCTCTCTCTCTCTTTTTGCAGGAATGCCCATATCAATTTCAAATTGTTTTCTCCAAGCTAAAAATGATTCCACTGTTACTCTTGTGCCTTCAAACCGTTTCTGTAATAAAATAAACATGAAAGTATATAGACGGTAATTTATAATTATAATGTAAGGATATAAAGATGTAGAAACCAGGTTAGGCCAAGGCAAATCGCTTACAATCAAATTGATTGCAAGCTTCACAAATTGATGCCAGAAGTCATAAAAATAAACAAGAGTATTTTCTTGTGGTGGTCAATACTCTATACCTTCCCTGGAAGGCACATGAATCTAGCATAAAGGTAGAAATATTTAAATTTAAAAAGTAAAACTATGCATTGACTAACCAATTCAGCTTCTTCATCAGCTTTAATCTTTGCTAGAAGTTTTTCTTCTCTTTCTTTTTTTATTTTATCCCATTTTTCATTGAGCCATTCCTGTCCTGCAGAGACAAGTGTGAACACCATCACCATTCCAAGATTTTCCTTACCCTGTAAATTATGAATAAGGTAATTCTAGATAAATGATACACTAATACAAGTTTAGAAAGATGCTATTTTATTCTTCAAAGTGAAATTAACTTCAAAATAATAGTTATTAAGTTTTAACTTAGACAGAATAGATATACCTGGTCCTCCAAATGTGTTAACAGTTCCTTCTTCTCTACAACATCATCAAAATTTTCTTCATTGTCTATTTCAATAATGGGCAACTCATCAGGATATTTGGCTGTGTAAGTAAAAATTAATTGACAAGCCAAACCCTCGCCATCATCAAATCCTTCTGATTTAATAGGTATAGAAAACTTATGAAAAGGCTCCTTTTCTATAACTGAAAAAAATCTCAATGAGTATTATGATAGATGTCTCCATAATTTTTGAAAAAAATGGTTAAGTAAGATTTTTTAAAAGTAAAATTACGGTTCTTACTCTGCATATCCCCATAGTAGATAGAATCCAATGCTTCAACTTCACTAGATTGTTCGTAATTATAATCCATTGCGATGGTGACTACAATCTAATAAACTAAATAATTGTCGCGAATTTTAATTTAACTAAATGCCAACTTTTTTTAACATCGGCTTATTAACCTATATTTTTAAGAAGTCAACACGAGAATTGAATGCAAAGACTACATTGAATGGTGAAAATCACCAAAAATCATACAACACATGCCATTTCAAAATTCATTCACGACAAAGACTTGACAACTTGACATTGACAGTGACAGAGAACCCACTGACATGTAGGGGGTCGCCATTTCGCTGTAAAGGTTATATCAGATGGGTCACATTTTGTTCATTTGCTTCTTTCGTTTTGCATATTTCACTCAAAGTGGCACATTTGAACACCGTTCAATTAGTGCCTAGTGAATTTATTAGTGAGCCGATCCAACGGTCATCATCATCATTTATTCCATAAAACAATATTCATTTTATCGGAAATTACAATATATAATCACAACAACAATAATAAGATCAAATTATAAAACGATAGAGAGTCAAATAAAATTCCACATGCAAAATTACAAATATAACAATGTTGCACAACTTATGTCAAAATAATCATAGGTAAATAGAAATATCAAGTTATTTATTTTTGTCATTCAAGTACTCATCGATTGAATAGTAGCACTTCTCCAATAAAAATGATTTAAGTTTATTTTGAAATATGTGTTGGTTGTCAATTTTTTTTAACTCTGTCGGCAGAGCATTATATAGCTTGCTGGCTTGGTACCTCACACAATGTATTGCAATGTTCAGTCTTGGTAAAAACTGTGTTGGATATTGGCATCTGGTATCTTTTACTCCCTCTCTGAATTAAGGAGAAATTATAGATAGGTCTCTGAACACTGAGAGAACGTTCATTCGCATTCGACCATTTTGTTCTGTGATTTTGTTTCTACTTATATAGCCGGCAGACGTCAGGTTGCCTTAATATTAATTGAGCAACAACAAATAGAAGTTTTTCAAATTTACTTTCATCTATTCAAAAATGATTATTTCTTCATTAAGGGTCAGAAGTGTTCTATGATCTAGGCTTAAGGTTTTAAAACAGTATGAATATTTACAATAAATTCTCACATCAGAAGAGGCTGTAAGAGTTAATATATTTGTACTGTGACTATACGTACTGTGACTATATAAGTATTAAAAAAAAGAAAGCACTAAAAATCACTTCACTAGTTGGCGACCCTAGTAAAAGTTAATTTTTATGCAGGAAACGAATGGACCAAATAAAGCCGTTCATTTTAACTAACATATTGAAAAACTATTAATTGCAAAGTTCGAAACTTAGATACCATTAAATACGAAAAAGTACAAATAGTATATGATTTGTTTATTAAGTTTTTAAAATTAATATACTTACATACATGAAAGAATACCGGAAGGGTTGGATAACGAGATCAGGAAAGTACCATGGCGACATCTAGTTCGATTTCGGGGACTAATGTTTTTTTTTAATACTCCCTCCTTTTTTTATTAATGTCTTATGCGCATTTCGCGGAATGAGGAAGTATTAAAAAAAAACAATGGATAAATTGATTTCTGAAATGAAAATGAAATGAATGAAAGATGGCGATGGATGATCCAATACTTCCTCATTGAGGAGGCAACCCAATTTTGTAACAAAAAATCCAGGGTATGTTCCGATATACACTGCGAGCACTGCGCAGTGGTCTTACTGCTGAAAAATCCGTTCCGTTATGGACTGCCAGTATACTGCTACAGTACCGTAGGGAAATTTATGACGTCATGAATTGCCGCCATATTTGTACACTGGAGATTTCGAGGTGCAGTGCTCGCAGTCCTTTTGACCACGTGATCAGTCGAAACAGATAAAATAAAATACTTACGTTTATTATAAGATGGATTTGATTGATAAATATTTTTTTATACAATTTTCCAATTTTATAATATTTTCTTTTGAAAAGAGGGAATCTTTATATTTATATTCAACTTGCATTAACAAATTTGAAAATGGCGCCAAAAATAGGATTAACAGTATACTAGACTGCGTTCCGTTTTAAAAAGTCACCAGTATAACTAGCTATAAAGGAACGGGCTTACAGTATACTAAATTGACGTCATACTGTTCAGTGGTCGCAGTCAGTCTGTGGTCGCAGTGTATATCGGAACATACCCCCAGCAAGTAAGAGTGTCAGAAGTAATACTACTCTTTGGCAGAAGTCATGTCGTTGTCATGAATGTCAAATTATCAAAAAAAAAACGTAAACAAAATTGGTCACCAAAGATTACAATATTATACTGGAAATTGGTCACCGTGGTCACCTCGCAGATGCGCGTATGAATGTGAAATATTCTTTGTATTGATTCAATTTTTTTGTATCGGCGCCGTAAAACCTTCCTATATAGATATTTGATGTCAGGACTAATATGAAAAATGGATGCGTTAGAAGTTATATCATCACCAAAAGAATCTCAATCCAGGTAAGTTTGAATTTAAACAAAATAAACTTCTCATCTTCAAATAAAAAAAATGCAAATCACGTCATAATTTCGTACTCTTTTCAGTAATATCACCAACCAATCATCGGACGAATTCAAGATCCTGCAAGAAGTAGTTATTGCAAACTTTCAAAAACCGAGCATTCCTAATATAAATGTACCAGAACGTATAATACTATGTTTGGATCTTTGTTATGATGATAACAACACCTTGTATCGTTTAGGAGATGGTTCAACATTCACCCTTATAAATATGTTAAAAAGAATTTTAGACTTTTTTCTGCATTCAAAAAATGCCATAAATAAAAAAACAGAGTATGCATTACTAATATTAAAAGATACTGAAGCCTGTTGGGTTCAAAATTTTACAAACAATCTGAAAGATATTGTAAACGTGATAGATTATCTTAATGCTGAAGAAAGCACAACTGAAAATTTTGATTTTAAGAAAATATTTCAGATACTAAAGCAAAAAGTTGAGATACCAGAATTTAAACAGGGAGAAAGCATATTACCACCTCCATATGTGGTCCGAATGATAGTCTTGTATGGGCGATCAGTCTCTTTGCCTCTGATACCACAAGATGATGTCTATTTTAATTTTCTCAAGAAGCAATTATATTTCTATATTGACATATTATTCGCTCATGAAGAAGATTGTGCACTATATAAATGTGAAGAAATTTATGATGCCCTACAAGATTTAGATAATGGATATTCCTATGTATTTGAGGTTTCAAGAAATGCTACAAAGATACACGACTGTATAGCTAAATTACTAGCACATCCTTTACAGAGACCCCTTCAAAAAAATACTGACTACACATTTCATACTCGATCATGATAATATATAATGGTTGTTGTTTGTACACTACATAAGCATGGGAAGATAATAAAATGTGAATTCAGATTTATTGTTATTTTATTTCAGCTCTTTAAGGGGGTTATGATTGGTACAAAAGAAAAAACTAAATCTATGTTACATACATAGTAGTTTCAAATATTTATAACACTGTACTTTCCCAGAAGGCAGATTTACATTTATTCTTTATCTAATGATTTCTTTTAAAGTCAAAGTTGGATAGACAACTGCCTTTTAAGTTGGATTTTCTTAATAGTAGTGAATGTTTTGATTTAATCTTTTTATTAACATCTACTTATGTATATGTCGGATCAAAATTTTAAACTATATTTTCAGCACAGCCAACTTTTAATTCCATACTTACCAACTAGTGAGTATTCTTTACTCGGTCACAATAATTAGAAATGTCATCATCATATAATAAGCATCAAATAGATCTGTGCATCTAAAATGGTCAAAAACTTGTGATGAGAGATTTTCCCTTCTCCCAATGCTGAGTGCACATATCCTGTAGCACAAAAAGTTCTATTTACGCATTTTTTTTTTTACTTTTGTTAATCTGCTTTGCCATCAATTGTACCTAGAGAAACATTCTTAGTATCCATTGCACACTGTCCAATTGGATAGCATTGCAGTGCAGTACTAACAGAGAAAGATTCATATTCATGTAAGTATCCAAATTTGGCAAAAAATGTATGATAATAAAATGCATGTATGAGTTCGCAAATACTTTATAGTCATAATCATAGGTCACAAAGACTGTTTAATTATAGGCCCAACAATATTAATCATAACTATAAAATCAACTTTATAAAGGAATTATAAAGTTGATTTTTGTAAAATTAAGTATGATATGGCATACCCAGATTCTGGGCAGGAACGGAAATCTGGACAGTTAAATTTTATAGTCAACAGAAGATAGTAGGTAGGTATTCAAAATCGGGATGGGAGGGGTTTCTCCTACTCCTCCTTTGTACGCCCATGAGTATATTTTATTTATTTGTTATCATTAGACGATTCTGGACACATTGATCTATTTGATGTTCATCGAATTGAAACTTGAATGAAATAGATATGGCTTAAAATTTTCAAATCATCACTACGTAGTATAAAACAAAGTCGCTTTCTCTGTCCCTATGTATGCTTAAATCTTTAAAACTACGCAACGGATTTTGATGCGGTTTTTTTCATAGATAGGGTGATTCAAAAGGAAGGTTTTTATATATAATACATGACCACGCGGACCAAGCAGCTGGCGGAGAGCTAATCTTGTATAATTTGACCTTTATTCGTAACTTGACGTATCTATTACACAGAGTTGATGTCCAGTTTGAGATTATGTAATAAATTATGACTCAAGTGGTAGGTAAGCTGTAATTTTTTTAGTTAATGAAATGCAACATACAAAATTTGCCATTATTTATGTTTGCAGTTCTGAAGTTGTCTGTTTTAAGTTAGTTTATATGTTTTTGAATGCGTCCGAGCTAAAGCATACTACACTTGCACCTTCGCGAATAAAAAGCTAAGCGTCAATGTAGTCATCCAACACGATGAGAGAAATAATGCTTGAAATTGACTAATTGTGATACTTGTAGGAGTCAGTGTTGCAGTGGTTCTTCAGAAGTTATTTTCTAATAATTTATTGCTGTCATTTTTCAATTAATTTGTGAGTGAAATTGGTATTTCAGTAAATTTATTTCCAACAAAGCAACAGTGGAGTGTCGTCAACTATTATAGTGTTTGTTTTGGAAGTTGTTAATACAAATGTTATTGTAGATATTTGAAATAGTAACCATCAACCTACAAGACCCTCCTCGAGTATGTGCAATGCCCGCACACATTAAAATGTGATAAATGTTTTTACCTTACAGTTCAAATAAATATAAAAAATAGTTTCACTAAATAATAAGTATAGGTATAAAGAGGAAATTTTAAGTAACAGATAAGTTACAGCAAAATTTTACGAATAGCTATGATGGAATTTATTTCCTAACCCATGTCCATTCGAAAAATCTAACTTCATCTCACCGACCTGAAATGGATTTTGGGCTCCGAGATTAAATTGCTAATTTATTCGTGCTTGTGCGTAGGTATGTAGTGACTTTTCTATATTCGTAATTTTTATTTACTTCTTCAGTAGGTGTCGAAATCTCATGGCATGTTTTCATCTCTGCTATTAAGACTATGTTTTCCTCTATCAATGTCGGTGTACAACCACAGAAACATAATTTTAATTTCTTTAATACTATTACAATAAATATAAAATATTCAAGCTTTCATGATCCTTATTTCTTATCAATGATCAATATCCAAACAGCGCCAAGGAGGGTCACTAAGGCCAATAATATAAGATATATAGCCAAGCTAAATCAACCGATCAAGTAGGATTCGGTGACCAATGACACAGTAGAGTTAAGAAACCTTGCCATATCTGATCAGTTACGACGAGATATTATTATTACAAAATGCAACACCGTTCTTCTTAACACACTGTCATTGGAGGGAAACAGAAGAGATAATACAAACTAAAGGTTAATTTAAATACCGCACCACTTCAATTGTAGCCCTTAAACTGTAATATGCATGATAGCAAGTCTATAAAATTTAAGGTTTACAAGGCGCAGTTTGATAAGAAAACACATATTACCAAGCATTACATTTAAGTAAATAATATAAAATTAAAGTAACACATTCATAAAAAAATATGTATTTACAATGATCGACTATGTAAAACCATCTAATATAAAAAAAATACAGATAACTTGAATTTCAAGTTCATTAATTTGGCCATACGAGAGTAACAATATAAGCCACATTTTACTATAAAACACAATATACTAATAATAAATAAAGCTTGTTTTATGTTATCACTGGTATATAAATTGCTTAAAGAGAAAATTTTCACAACAGAACTCGCTTTACGTAAGCCAAATCATTTAACAACAGTATTTTTATTTTACATACAAAGTATTTCAAAGAAGATTAAAGTATAAACTGTATCTGCCTTGTTAACTCAAATGTATTACATTCTTTTTATCATAAACGTAATGCCTGTTTGTCGAGATGTAATGTTTACCTACACTGTGATAATAAGAAAAATATATTTTAGTTGTTGCTTTAAAATATTTTTTATATAAGTATAAACGTTGTTATAATATTTTGCAACAAAATCAGTAGAAGACATCTATTTTTATATAGACATAAAGGAAACCAATGTTATTATAAAAAAAAACATAATAACAAAATAATAACTTTTACTTCAATCACGAATTACTTATTAAAATGCTATAGACGAACCTGATACAGATCAGAGCATTTCATACATTTTGACTGCAAACATATAATCGCACACTGAGATCCTAAAATAGTGAGTAATGTAATGACTTATTATCGATGCCTAACATTTGACACTGGTTAATTTACAAACAAAATAAATTACTTCACATATCAGTCTCTTTAAAATGTATTTACAAATATTGTAAATTCGGCTGTTGTCAAATAATATTATAGTCAATGTAGTGTAATCTGATTTGTTGATGGTTCAACAACTAAAACAAGCAGTCCGTCCCACTTTCCCATGCTTTGTTTGTATTCAATAATACAATAATTATGGAATGATAAATAATTTCATAGCCGCAAAATCAAACCAACATTCTTCACAAGCATATCAGAATTAAAGCATTTCCTCAGTTTTACTGAATCCCAATACACAATGAGGCAATTTATACAATATTTAAATAACATAAATAATTGAAGTCCTTCACTTCATTATAACTAACTGATACTGTCAGTTTTTTTTTAATCACCAAAGCAATAATCCACCAAAATCTTGAGTATTATAACAAGTTATAAAACATTTTAACACCCTTTTATTTATTATCGATAACCAACGGAAGCGTAGCATAATATTCGATGACGTAAATCATAACGCGCGGACATCGAACATCCAACGGCGACATGCATATCGCAAGGAAGACAGGACTAGATGAATCAATATTTGTATGTTATTCTAAACCCATAAATTACATAATAATACAATTTCCCGATCCACAAGAGCATCGCCGTCGGGGGGTGACCAGGGTCCGTGATGGGATTTCGCATTCGTATTAGTATCCCGAGACAAACGTGGTTGTTCACACACTAGACCATGGTAGAATTTTCGAGACGCTCTTAACTACTGTATAGGAGGTTTCATTCTAATGATGTTGCTACAACTTTGTGAAATATTAAAATCTATCATAAAATCAGAGAATTCGAAGGCTCAAAACGGCGATACGGGCACGACGAAATGATAAAACGATGTTTCATATCCACCACGGTCAAAGAACTGCAATTTTTCATTTGGGAAGATAGCCTTCTAAATTTCGAGGTCGCAAGGCTACGAAATCACGTCACTTTATCACACTTCACATTAAGCATTCAGAGCTGCATGTTTCGTTCGCAAGTTCACTCGACACTCGTTTTTATCGTCGATCGAAGCATTAGGTAGTTCTGCGGTGGTATTCGAACTCGGACAGCTTATCACTCCTGTCGCACACGAACAGATGTATTCAGACGCGGGGGGCGCCACCTTGGCTTCGCCGAAGCGCTTTAAGGCATTCCAATTCATTTGAGGGAATAGGAGGATAATCGAAGCCACTGAGATTTAGTCCATCAACACGATTGTAGAATATTACCAGTTTTTTTTTTCACCGAGTGCCGTTAGGAGTGTGAGTTAGACAGCAGCACGTGGTGTGTGGTGTGTACGCGGCGCGGTCACAGCACGCAGGCGGCGAACACCGCCATGGCGCGTCAGGGCGGCGCGTGCGCGTGCGCGGGGGCGGGGGCGTGCGCGGACGCGGGCGCGGCGGCGGGCGCGTGATGCTGCGGCGCGCGCTCCGGCAGCGCGGGGGCCGCGTCCTCTGCGCCCGCGCCCGCCGCACGCGCGCGCATCACGTACGCGTACGTACGGTACCTCTTTATCTGTGAACAACGTGACATCA